TCCCCCCAGAGTGTTACGTATCAGAACAATGACACCAACTCGAACTACCGAAGGTATACCGCCTTCACTCTCGATTACCTGAACGTTACCAATGTAAGGGTAACATTCAAATAGAAGGGGTGAGATATCTAACAATATAATAAAACGTATGATAAATAATATATTAAATTATATCACATAACATCACCATTTCTCATCTTATAAACAACAATAATCGCAACAGAATACCAACGATAATACACATTCACCACATCAACACACAACTTCTTTATGCAATCATATAATGCGACTCAATACTATGCGAATGCATGTGGTACCATTGGAGCAGAACTCCCATCTCAAAATAATTGCCAATAAATAGAGGCATCAACAAGGCATAAGCCTTCATCTTAATATTATCCAATACAAGCCATCTTAACGAGCATCAGCTCCATCTTGAAATGCAATGTATGCGACACAATCATGAATGTAATGACAACAAGCATAATTAACAACATATCAATACAACGTCATCGTTGGCCAGAAGCCTACATCTTAATAGCTGCCAATTATTAGAGGAATCTAAACATCATTCAACAACATCATTCATCAACATCATTTATCAACATAATTCATCGCATAATTCATTAACATAATTCATTAACATAATTCTACAACAACTCAGCCACAACAACAGTACAACGACAGATCGACAGTCCCTCAACGTTGGCCATCGACCTACAACATGATAATGCCTATAATTAATTAATCATCTAAGGCTCATCTGTAAATTACATAACCTTTACATATTACAATTATGTAATACTACATCATTATCATCATTAATCTTACTGTTATGAACCAAACAGTAATCTATAATTGTCTTATCCTCATCATTCTTCACAAAATCATCATAGCAATTAAAGCGAGAAGCTAACTCTAGTCCTAAATTGGGTTACTAGGATTATACTTCCTATTATTCATGTTAATCCTTAAGAATGAAGTTCATCGCGTCATCTATTCAATGCTTCAAACGACACCTCAAACGGAGTCCGGAAACTCAAGTTACAGCCTTTGGAAACAAATATATCAAAAATCAGACTACATGAGTCGACGCATAACGTCTTGAGTCGACGTGTACTGGGCTTAACACTGCATGTATCGATGCGTACTCCCTTCGTATCGACTCATACTGAGTTTGAAACACTGCATGTATCGATGCATGCTCCTTCGTATTAACTCATCCTTAGTCTAAAAACCTGCATGTATCGATGCATGACTTCTTCGTATCGACTCATACTGAGTCTAAAAGCCTTCATGCATCGACGCATGGCTTTTGGGATCGACACATACTGTTCTGTCATGAATATTTTCTGTGATTTCACTATGTTTTCACTGCGGTTTCCATGCTTTAGGCCCTAAAAATATCCTCTAATCATAGGTAATAATCAATTATAATGATCCTATATTTCTACATCAATTATACAACATTAGGACATCATTATTCATCCTTAAATCATTGATTCTCATCAAAAAACAATGTATATAATTCAATCATAACCAAACAATCTTTCACATCAAATCTCACATACTAATCATCATAAACCCTATTATAGAGTCAGAACCCCACCCTTACCTTGGATTGAAGGTTGCTCTATAACTTTTCCGATTGAATTTTGTTCTGCCTCTTTTCCTTCTTTTCTGCAACTTTCACGTTCTCTTTCTCTTCTTCCAACCCTTATTTTCCTTCTCTTCTTACTGCTTCTTCTTTTTCCTTATTATTTCTAAAAACTAATATAATAATCTATAATTCTTATTATGCCTTAATGGGCTTAAGACTCCTACACCCCCCTTTCTACTACTTCCATTCCTTAAAATAATTTCACATCAAATAATATTATTATTCTAATATTATACCACAACTTAATAGAATAATTAAATCCAATAACAACAATACATCAAATATCATCATAACACAACTTCACAAATATTCCAAAAATAATTTAATTAAATAATTAATTAAATTACGGGTGTTACACATTTCACCAATACCATTATTACTCATCATATCTTGCAGATCAACATACTTATTCTCAGTGATAAGTTTGCCACCTATTCCATCTTGAGTTGTAGCCACATTGCTATAGTCTTCTATCACACATCAAGGACCCTGCAAATTTATATGATTTCTCTTAATATTCTTCCACAACAATCTTTTGTCCTCCAAATGATTATGAGCATAAACACCAGTTAGTCAGTACTTTAATCCACTTGCTATATCATAAACCCCACAATGGATGGACTAACTTGTTTTATTTACACATCTTATATTAACCTTGGTATTGTCCCAGTTAATCAAAAGTCTACCATTAGCATATTCATTATAATTATCTAAATACTCACCTTTAAGTTAATGTTTTTCTCTAATAGTTGCAGCTTTATTTCTTTTGACTCTAGTTTCAATCAGAATTATAATCTCAGGTTGTAAATCTAGAAGACGGGAGCTAATCTCCTTTATTTTACCATCCTTGTTGAGCCCCCTCACATTCCAGGATACCATCATGGACCCTTATCAAGGGTTACTAGGGGGTCATTCAAAACCTCCAGAACACCAAAACCATTAACACAAGGTATTGCATTGGAAGATTCAACAAAGTGAATAATCTTACCTTTATCTCTTGTTTCTTTACTCACCTTGGCCCATTCCTCTTCATTCCCTTCATTGGTTTTCTTAGTATAGTCCTCCTTTGGGGTATAAACATTAGCTGTGATGTCCTGTTTTACATCAACATGATGAGTCTTTGGCTTCCAGATTTTATTTTTTGGCTCCTCACCACATTGATGCCCAACCTTTTGACACTTTTCGCAAAATTTTGGCTTCCACTCATACTCAATTGACTGCTTCATCTTCCCCCATTCCTTATCCTTAATAGTGATCTCATCCACTAGTTTCTTAATGATGTCAACCTCTACTAGGATCCTAGCACATGAAACTCTTAGCTTGTGAGATGTGCGTTCATCAGTGACCAGAGGCACACCTATGTAACTACCAATTTTGTTCAAACTTTATTCTCCCCAAAGGTAGATAGGGAGCTTGGGGATTTTAACCCAAATTGGTATAGTTCGCATCATGTCTTGCTTCATGTTGAAATCTGGTTTCCACTCTTTTAGAATCATTGAAATTCCTCTGATTGTGTATGGTCCCTTCATCAAAACTGCATTCAAATCATTAAGAGTTTTGAATCCGAGAATAAAATATCCATCATCATGATAATACATATTCGGTAGTTGGACAAAATTCCACATCTTCTCCATGAACTTCTTAACCGTATTCATACTCAAATCTTCATATAACACATAGAGAATTAGGGTATTCTTCCAAAATTTCAGTTCAGTTAGTATATCTTCTTCTTCAATTTCAACTTCAATCTCGCCGTTCACAATCGTTGGTGCCACATACGACATCGCTCTTCCCTTATTAGGGTTTTGATTTTCACTGAGTATGTCCATCCATAGTTTGCAAACCTCCTTCTTTTTCGATGAATCTTCATCATGTGTTTCCATCACTTTTGGCACTTCCTCTAAGACATCCTCTTCCTTCTTGTTACGACCATCATCAACTTGATTTTCTGTTACCTGCACCGATTGTGGCTCCGTTGCTCTCGGACGCCCTCGACCCTTCTTCGCCATTTTTTTTAAAACTTCACTTATTTTACATGTGAAAAATAAGTTTTATCACATTAATTTTTTAAAATTATTATTTAAAAAAAATATTTTTAAATTCTTTTAAAGACACGTGTACTTATTATCACGTAACATCCATATAAATCTCTCTTATTTAACAATAAAATTTTATTACATTAATTTTCTTAATTTTCACCAAAACATAATATCCATACATTTAATTTCTAACAAAAAAAATGAAAGATATTGTGATTCTGAATTATGGTAAAAGAACGAATGACAAAGGAGTAGAAAGAAAGACACTAGTCGGTTGGACGGTGAAATTACTAAAGTGAAATATGAAGTAAACAAGAAGTTTAAATATGAAATAGTCAATCAGATTTATATGAAATCTAAAAGATTTTTTTCCAAAGAAAACTTCAAATAAAATATATTACAAGACTAGTTTTTTAGAAGGTGAAAAAATAGAGTATATAATAAACTAATAATATTTAAATTATTTTTATAATTTATTAACATATAAGGATATATGTAGACATGATTATTATTAAACTTGTATTCATATTCATTAATAAATCGATATTTAAATATTTATTTATTTTATATATTGATATTCATGAAGTTATCCGACTCGTATCTGTGATATATTTTATTTTCGAATATTTACGGATACAAATTTTTTTACCAACTCTAATGATATTTTTCATTATTTTATAAACTATTCCAGTCACTATTACAAAATAATAACTATAATGTAATTAAAAAGTAACAAATATTTTTTAAAATTTACTATAAAGTATAAATCAAACTTATTAAAAAGTGTCAATTTCACATTAGTAAAAAATCATCTTGGTCAAGTATAATTGAATTCATAAAGTTGTAATGTTCTTAAATCTTAATATAGATTGATATTTTCTTATTGTTTTTCATCTAAAAAACAAGTTTATGTGTTATTCAATAGTTGAGATTATAATAAAACTATAAAATTAAAAATACCTAATATATCTAACATTGACGAAAATAATAAAGTACCTAATATAAATTTACTTTATACCCGTTATATTTCCATTAAACTCTTATGAATATAGTAATGATATCGTTTTTTTAGGAGTTTTCACATTTTTTTGAAAAGGAAATTTAATAATGACGTCCATTAATCCATTAACAAACTTCCCTAACCAATCGTATTAATACAAAAAGAAAAAGCAAAAAAAGATTGAGTCAACCAAAATAACGTGGACTCATACTTTTACACCTATATATACACTAACCTCCGATTTTTCAAATTTCACAAAAGAGAAGACTTAGCCACGAAACCAACTCATCGCAAAACAGAAATGGTGAAAGTGAAAGTTACTTCGCCGGAGTCTCCCAAGCGCCACTCCACCGGCCGCTTCTTCGTCACCATATCATCGATTCTGACTCTGCTCACACGGCAAGCAGGCCGTTTAAGAGCAAAGGCGAAAGCATCTCCGATTAAAGACGAGGAGTGGAGAGTCGATCATAAGGCGCCGAAATCGCCGATGGCGCGACCGAAGGAGCTTCTGAGCAGCATAAGCAACAAAGCGATGTTGCAGTTCGGGAAGAAGAAGAAGCAGGGAGGAGGAAGGGATGAGGAGGTAGAAGGTTGGGGAAACGGCGGCGTTTGGCAGAAGGAGATATTGATGGGAGGAAAGTGCGAGCCGTTAGATTTCTCCGGCGTAATTTACTACGATATTAACGGTAAACAAACGCGCGAAGTTCCTCTCAGGTCTCCACGCGCTAGTCCTTTGCCTGGTTATCTCACTCGCCGTTGAATTTCATCACGAAATTAAAAATCTCATTAATTTGCAAACTAGGTTTAGGAATTTCAGATAGGTAGTTATGCACGTGATCTGCGATCCATTGCACGTGTTTCTTATTTTTTATAATTTGTTTGTATTTTTGCTATTGTTGATTTTTGGTTATTAGAATTGAAAAGTTAAAATTAATAGCGTGTTTGTTTGTTGTTGGTTGATGAAAAACTAAATAGGTAACTTGTGCGATTGTGAGGCTCTGTTCTATGCATACGGGTGACGAGCTTTTGCTACTGATTCTGTGTGATAATAATTCACGTCTTGTATTTTAATACGGAAGTTTGAGTCTAGTTATGTATCTCATTTGCTTTTTTTTTTTTAATACTCAATTGTGTTACGTCAAACAAAATTTAGGTGTAATTTCATTATCTTTTACGTAGTTGTTTAATCATAAATAATAGTAGTGATCCCACAATTATGAAGGATTTTGATTTTGAGAGTGTGAAGCATATTAAGACTAGAGTATATACTTATTAAACTTACATTCTAGTTTTAATAAAATTTTACTAATCAACACTTGAAGAGGTTGTCTCTTTTTTGATGGAGGTTTTTTCTTCTCCGTCATTGGAGCTCTTCTTCGCCATTATGGAGGCTGTCTCCTCTTCAATGGAGGTTTTCCTATCATTGTAAGTTTTTCTTCCTTCTTTCTCACTCCTTTGAATTACTTATCTATGTTGGATTCATATCTTATTCTACCTCCAACCTCCGTCAATTGTTCCTTCCTGTCCGCCAACAACCATCAAATACTTGCAACTCTAAAATCATCTTCAACATCCAATGAGTCAAAATGATACGGACATGAAAAACAATCTCCACCAAAACCTTCACCACTGGAAGATATGAAATTTCTAAGATTATGTGTTTGTGTACCTGTAATGGTTGCTATTATTATGTTTATGTTATTTTTTGTTTGTGTTGTTATGTTGTTCTGTTGTTTAGGTTGTTTTAAATTTGTATTTATGGTGTTTGATGAAATGTCTCAAAGAAGTTTAGATGAAAGAGATGTGTTTCTGAGTGAGAATCTAACAATAGTTGTTACAAATCAAACTCTATTTTTCAGTCAACAAATAATTCCTCCATAAATTATGAGTTTAATCAAACATGAGAACCAGAATAATCGAATTGCGTGTCACAAAGTTAAAGAAATGACCAGTAATCAGATAAGTTCCTAAACTCACTTATCATCTGTGAAAGAAATTTGATTGGTTGCTCAGATAAGGAATTAGATTGATAGCTATCTATTGATTTTTAAATTCTTAAAGTTTATTGATGCCCATAGCTTGATTGACTTAATTATTAGTGTTTTTAAAAAGTGAAAGAGAAATGCCTTCAACACAATATCTTTCACTATGCTTTGTACTCTCTCTATTTCATCTGATGCATGAGGTTGTTTCCCGTAAATAAATTATAACAATAATTTTATTCATTAAGATTTTTTTGTGATAAAGATTGTTTTAATTTTTTTAAGTGTCACTCTAATAGTCTTTACTTATTTAAAAAATACTTATTTAATCTCGCTTAAGTTAATTTATTGTTTCATATTGGTTTCTTAGGCTATTTGAATTTATGATATGAGATGAAATTAAATGGTAAATAATGAGATTATATTATTTGTAAAAGTATATATGAGTTGGATTAATTGGATTTGGCCTAACCCGTTACCTAACCCGTTCACACTTCAATAGGTTGAGTTCATCATTCAACTCACAATTTTATGGTCAAAATCGAACCAACCAGATAAGCTCATTTATGGGTTTGGTATAGTTGGATTCGCAGGTTGTGTTTCAAATAAAACATATTTTTTTAATATTTTTTTCAATTATAAATAAATAGTAACACAATTCAATACAATTACACTCATTAACAGTCAAATTGGATGAAACACATTCATATTCATTCATATGTCATAACACTTGATAATAGTAGAAAAATCTATAAGACGTATTACTTTCATACACACTTAAGTTAAAAATTGTTTTGGACTGACCCGACAGTAAGAGTGGGCCTAGTCTAACCCCTTCTTTCAGTACGGTCCGTACACCCATGGCCCGCTCTCTGTCGGGCAACACTGATCTTTTGTCCTCCTAAACCGACGCTGACCCAAGATGATCGACAAGCACCTCTCAGTCTACCCGACTTCAAGTCGTGCAGACAACCAGGAATCAATCAGATTGCTGCCCGTAACCTACTCCCTCATCAGATCTAACGGCTAGTTGCGGGTACACCTTCCCGATATGACCAAGTCCTGACAGTTACCTATTTTTGCAGACCCACATATCCAGGCACAAAACCATGAACTAATGGCCATGCGCCAGGGGCATTATATAAACCCTCACACATGTGAGGGCCAGGTATCGAATATTCACTATTCACCACTAACACCCTAATATTTTGCTCGTATTTCTTTGCTCATGTACTTACTTGATCGCCAGAGTGTCTTGTAGGTACAACTCCCTTTTTTCTTCCTCGGCATCACAACCTGACTGAAGATCATCATCCGGTCACCTTGCAGGTTCTGATCAATTGGTAAGGTCAGTGGCGCCGTCTATGGGAAACTTCTCTCCCCATCTTTCTTTCCCCGAAACTCAGATCAAAGCAGATATCCAAGATTCCATTCACCAATCATGGTCGACCATGATGATCTCCTCCTGCATGGAAAGATCCCACTTTCTCCGGTGCACAAGACTGACGGATGTCAGGGACATCCTCACCTCGAGGATAACTTCGACCTTCACGACCGTCGAACTGCATCTCTAGACTCTATTAGCACCCAGCACGACGAACAACAATTCTTAGACGGACATCTTCCCAAGATCCCCGCTGAGGAACTGCCAAAGATCCTACAACCAGTTCCTATCCCTCAGAGCACCGACCCGACCATCACAACACTGCTCACTGCCATCAACCAAACCAACGCCCTCATCTTGCAGTAGAATGAAAAGATGGGGGCCTGGGGATAGAAGCAGTCAAGATCTCCTCCTCAGAGATCCTAACGATGATAGTACCCCAACATATCTCCGCCAAGGCGTGTCCATCCACCAACAAAGGAGAAGCGCGGAGTTTCTTTCTTTAAGAAACGCGACCGCTCACTGCCACTAAAAGATCAAGACCTTCTATTGTCCAAGAGAAAGAAAGACAATCGCCAAGCCGACCGTTGTCGATCACCATTGCCTGAGCTGAGGCAGCAGCAGAGGAGTCCTCCCACAAGTCAAGACCGCGACACCCGACGGGGACAGAATTATCAGTCCCTTCTCCATCTCCTGTAGATAGCGATGACGACGAACCTCGTAGATTGTTGTCGAGAGAAATCACAAGAGCACCTCTTCTAGTCGGACTAGAGAAACCACCCCCCTTGGGGACATACGACGGGACGGTGGACCCCGACGAACATATCGAGAACATTGACGCTCTCCTCGACTACCGAGGGGTCAGAGGAGTCATTAAATGTAGATTGTTCCCAATCACACTCAGAAAGGGAGCTATGTCCTGGTACAAGAGTCTCCCAGATGAATCTATCACCTCCTGGAAGCAGCATGGCAAGATGTTCTCGAGGCACTTCATAGCCTCACGTCGACACCCGAAGTCGGAAGCTCCGCTCGAAGTGATCATCCAAGGAATGGATGAATTTCTCTGGGCATATATCGAGCGCTTCAACAAGGAAGCGGTACAGGTCTCTACGACTGATAACATGAAGAAATACCTCCTTGAGCGCAGGCTCTGTTCCCACAATGACTTCGCCAAGGCGGTGGGTATCGAGACACCAGCAACACTCAACTCCCTTCTCCTCAAAGCTCAAGCGTACATACAGTAAGAGGAGAAGAAAGTCGCCAATAGCGCCTGGGAATAAAGGCATAGAGGGAGTGCCAAACCCTCGAGAAATGATGAACCCTCGACTTCTTGTTGAGGAGAGAAGAAACGAGAAGATAAATCCCAGGACCCCAAAGACTATAAGGGACCCACCGAGCGATTTCACGACCACACCCCTCTGACTACTTTGAGGGAGCATATTCTATCTGAATTCGAAAATTCTGAATTCAAACAGGACGAGGTGCGCTTTCCACAACAAACGCCCTCGAAACTGGGAACCGACAAAAGAAAATACTGTAAGTTCTACAAAAGCCACGAGCACAACACTGAGGATTGCATTCATCTCAAGGATGCAATCGAGATACTGATTTGAGATAGGCATCTCAAACAATATAGTAAGAAGGAGGGCGCCCATAAAGAAGTGTCGGGAACTAAAAACATCAAAGAGGGGAAGGAGTCCCCCGACATCAACACCATACCGGTCGTCATGAGCATCTCTCGGCAGGAATATTTCTACTGCCCAAACATGGAGAATGTTCCTTTATACTTCTCCTCCCAAAGTCCCTGGGAATCATTCCCCGTCGATATGGTTATCTCCAACGGGGGATTCAACAGACACACAGTGGGAACTGTTAAGAGGAGATTCGACTAATTGATCGAGGCCAACTCCGACATGGATGCCACACTAGACAAATTCCGAGGAGGTTCTCACCCCATTGCCTTATACAAGGAAGAATTGTCTGACAGGGACCCTCACTCGACCATCCCGCTTCTCATCAGGGCCTGCATGGAGAATTTCGACGTGTGGCGCACTTTGGTCGATCAGGGAAGCTCGATAGACATTATGTACTCCTAACTATTCACCACTATGCAGTTGAATGAGAGTCATCTTACCCCGTACATTGGATCAGATCTCCATGGATTCAATGGGGCCAGTACAAAACCCTGGGGATGTGTCGAGTTGATCGCCACCTTCAGGAGAGGAGTGATGGCCAGAGCTATCAAGACCCAATTTCTGGTAATAGACTTCCCGTCTCTTTACTAGTGCATCTTTGGAAGACCGACTTTCTCCGAGATGATCACAGTGCCCTCCACCGTGCACCTCAAGATGAATTACTACACTGCTGATGGTTTGGTCGCCACCCTTCACGGGG